CCCCCTTCACCCCATGCCCCCCTGTTGGACTGCCTGGTTTGTGTATATTGTAATTACATACTTTGAAGTTGTCGCACTTTATTTGCTTTGCTTGGCCACAGCCCCACACTGGCATCAAGCATTTATATGCAGGCACGAAGATGTACATTTTCCACCTTGAGTCGGACTATCCTGCCTTCCTTCTGCTCTGGTTTTTACCCCTGGACTACAGCTTCAGTCCAGTTTCCAGCTGCTTTTGAAGAATATGTTGTCTAAATGCTCCACCTTCAAAGTGACTGGAAACCGCTTTATATTCCCTGTGTGTTTTGACCCTTTGTTTCCATGTTCTCTTCTCACAGCTCAGAGCAGCTGGAGGGAGGATTAAACCAAATATTTGAACTATAAATGCACATATTGCAACATTTACTCTTTAGCACCTTACAGAAGCGCAGGCATGCACACATTTGTGGGAAATGCAGACATTCCTGTTGTATATAGAAGTACCCAAGCTAAAAAACGTTTTGCTAAATAGGAGATAATGTTCATAGTTTACTATATAAGGGCAATGGATTTGGTCACTCGATGTTCCTACATTTTTCAGATGATTTAATAACATCTTCTTTTGCTCATGAGAAGTAGAACATAGCGCCTTGTTAGGCGTATGGGGAAAAATGTTTGTAAGACAAACATCAGCTCCAAAAGAAGAAAGGAAAAGTATAAGAATGGAGATTACTTATAATGATCTTCTCAACATGGATCCCATTTATTCAAAATTTAACTTGTATGAGGCATAAAATATAATTGCAATTATGACGACAACAACAACAACGAAAGATACAAATGTGCTGCTTCTCATTATTGTTCCATGTATGATTTACATGTGTCATTAATAAAGGAAAACATGATGATCTGCTGTGGCACTTATGCCAAAACGTTCTTGAGTTGAGTTCTGAAAGGGAAACTTTGGCTCCAGTTGTGTTTGCCATTTACCAACAAATTTGTTGTTCATAATTCCGATTATGATGAGAGGCTGATGAGCACATTGTGCATATATATCACTCACGGTCCTGACAATAATGTATCAGCTGAATGTGAAAACAAGAACAAACCAATCCTGCATTAGGTTCCCAGAGCAGTTGACCAGATAGTTTTGGGAAGCTCACAAACTGCACAGAAGAACAACAAAATATGCCTCCATGGGAAGAAACTGACCACATGGAGAAGTAGTGTGTTGTAGCAATTGAAGAGCTGGACTCAAGTTCAAGTTGTCACTGACCAAAGAAACTACAGTGACTTTGGGCCAGTCAGTCTCAGCCTGATTTCACAGATTCATGGGATTGTTGAAGGATAAAGAGGAAAGGAGAGTTTAACCTGCTTCATACCTGGGTCCTTTTATAACAGGGGTAGGCAACCTTTCCCCTTTAAGGGCCGAGGGACTTCAGCTCCCAAAATCCCAGGAGCTATTGGTGAACATGGGACTATTGGCCAACATGGATGAGGCTTCTGGGAGCTGAAGTCCCTCGGCCTTAAAGGGGAAAGGTTGCCTACCCCTGTTTTATAATATGCAGTTGTAGCACCGTAATTCCACTCTGACTATCATGGCTGCATTCTATGGAATCCTATTTTTGCAGTTCTCAGCTCCCTATCAGAGAATTCTCAATACTCCCCCCATTGTAAATCCAAATATTCCATAGGTTGGTGCCATGGAAGTTCAATTGGAACTAAAATGCTATAACTGTGTAGTGTGAAAGGGTCCCAGGTGTTCTACAGAACAATCCTACTAAAATTTGACAGGGGCAATCATTAGTACGAGTCAACAAAATTGAGGATAGGCAAGGTGGATTCACTAGATTATTTAGCCATGCATGGATTTTGGTGAATAGATTGAAAAGACATTTACAAGAATTTCATAGAGTTGGAAAAGATCACAAGGGTCATCCAGTCTAACCCCCTGCCATGAAGGAATAACACAATCAAAACACCCCTGACAGATGGCCATGCAGCCTTTATTTAAAAACCTCCAAAGAAAGAGACTCCACCACCCTCCAAGGGAATGTGTTTCACTGTCGGGTGCCTCTTACTGTCAGGAACACTGTTATTGTAGAAGTCTGCAGATTGCACCTTGAACCACTTTTCCACTTCATGAATGACATCATCTGTGTTGTCAAATCGGCGACATGACAACCGATTTTTCATTTTTGGGAAAAGAAAAAGTCACTTGGTGATGATGACACTGACAACATTTCATCAATTTACCACAATTACATCTGGGTGATAATTATTACTTTACAATAGCCCCTCGAATCTTCTCCATCTTACACTTCAGTCACTTTAGTCACAACCTGTAACAAAAATAAAGGACACAATGAGCTGATTTTCTCAACATCATGCACTTAGGGACCAATGATGACACTGACAAAATTTCATCAATATACCATCACACCTTCCAGGTGATCATTATTACTTTACGATACCCCCTTGTACAATAGTGAATAGGGTATCGTAAAGTGAATTTGATCTTTTATTGGTTTCACGCCATGAAGTCAGTCTGCACTCGAATCAGGGATTTGCCCCTGCATAGTGTAGACAGGTTGCACTGAAGGGGGCAGGGGAGACCAGCGGTGGATGGGGACCAGTTTAACTAGCTTGTGTAGTCATGACCCAAGTTGGTGGCCATGATCATATCTTGTTCAAAGCCTGGAAAAGTTAAATTAATGTCTTCCCCAGGCCAACTGTCTGGAAGAGTCTGAGAGCTGTAACACAAGACTAATGTTTTCAAGGTCTTTTCTGATCTTGGCATCATAAATTCTATATTTTAATTATGCACTGAGTGAAGTACAATCGGCCCTCTGCATTAGTAGGCTTGACATCCATGGATTCAACCAACCACGATTCAAAAATATTCACATGCTTAGCAAACAACCCTATTTTTACTTAACACTGGAACAACAGTATTACTTAATACTGGGCCTCAAGGGGCAAAGTATTCCATAACAATATAAGGAGGCCCTCCCCTGTTCTCCAGCAGGATGGTTTCTTGACTCGGGAAGGGAGCCCCAACAGAAGATCTAATATCAGAAGATCTAATATCTTCCTAATTTTTGCCACCTTAACCACACACATTGCTGTTGCCTGGACACACATGTCCCAGTTTTCAATTCAAATATTGAAGACTTAAGGAAGACAGCACATTATCAACCAGCATTGATATGTATGCCTTTTTCTCTGGGTGCTACAAAACTGGGACAGGACATATATCATGTCACAAATAACAAGCTTGATTTGATTTGATTTGATTTATTTGATTTGATTTGATTTGATTTATTTGGGTACAAATAAGTTTGATTTGTACCCAACTTAATTCAAGGGGCTGAGACGTGGGATCACTCAACTCTTGGAAGTTATATGTTACAATAAACAGGTAATCTGCTGTAAATAATGCCAGTATTTGACAGGGGGTAAGACTCACCAAACCCATCTTGTATCTTCTGTTTTATCATCCTTTTTGGAGGCCTCCTCAAGGGATTTTCTGCCCAAAGTAAAAAAAGAGAGAGAGAAAGAGAGAGAGAGAGAGAGAGAGAGAGAGA